ACTACTACTATTAAAAGAGAGTTTTGCTAGGTAATTGAATTATTCTAAGTTGATGTTTTTTTCCCTTAGGACTTTGAATATATTATTCCTTTAATATTTTTGTTTAGGAGAGAAATCTTAACTGTTGTTTTTGGTAGGTGATCTGTATTTTCTGGTAAAAGTTTTAAAGTTTTCCCTTTTCACATTTAGGTCCTTAAACTCATCCAAAATTAATTTTTGATATAGTATAAGTATGGGAAATATTCCAATTTTATTTTTCCATAAGCATACCTAATTATCCCAGTACTATTTATTTTGTAATCTCTTTTTCCCCTCAACTGACGTACAGTGAAATCCCTTTTTTTAAAAGCAGGTTCCCACCTGAAGGATGGACATATTTGAAACTCGGACTTGGGTGGGGAGGGGGCAAGGGCAACATACGTAAGCTAAACATCTGTACCCCCATAATATGCTGAAATAAAAAATAAAAAGCAGGTTCCATGTGGATTTGCCGATAGGCTCCCTATTATGATCCATTGGTCAATTTGTTTATCCCAAACTTAGTTTATAATAAATATTGATATCTAGTTGGGCAAGGTTATTCTTGGTCCTTTTTGGTGGTTTGATCATCTATATAAATTATAAAATCAGATTATCAATTCCATAAATAAATGCTGGAGTTTTGATTGGTATTGCATTTTATATGTATTGATCAATTGGAGAAGACTTGACATCCGTATGGTATTGAGTTGTTTTGGTATATGATCTTACCATTTTTACTTGTTTTCTTTAAAGTCTTTCAATAAAGTCTTATAATTCTATGTTATGGGTCTTTATACATTTTTTTGTTAGACTTGGTCCTTTGTACCTTATGTTTTTGTTCTTGTAGTTCCCTTATAAAAACAAAAGTTATGATTGATGTTAATAGATATGAAAAATCAATTTTCCTTTGCTATTACTACATTGAAACCCTTTGCTAAACTATATCATTTCTAATAAATTATCTGTAGATAATTCTGTGTTTTCTCTAGAGATAACAGAAAACATCTGTTCTTTTTGGTTCTTTTTCTTACTTTACTGCACTGATCAGGACCTACCCTACAATGATGAGTAGAAACTGTAATTGTAGGCATCGTTGTTTTATTTTTGATTTTAAAGGCAATTCTTAGTCTCTTTCCCATTAGAAATGAGCTATCTTTTAGATGAAGGAGGCTCCCATCTATACTGAGTTTGCTGGTACTTTTTATAAGGCTTGTGTATTAAATTTTAGCAAATAATTCTTTTCTACATCTGTTAATATGGTCTTCTCATTTATTTTTAAAACTTTGTCAATATGGTGAATGGCATTTAAAGATTTTCTAATGTAAAGCCACCCTTTCATTTCTTAGGATAAACCCAACCTGATTTATCCTTGAAATTTATAGTCATTTTTTATATACTTATAGGTTTGATTTGCTAATTTTTAAGTATTTTTGAAGATAGTTTCATTTTATATGTAGACTAGTCTCTAATCTTCTCAGATTATCTTCTTAAGCTTTGGTATCAAGTGTACTAGATTCAGCAAGAGCCGGAGACTGTCTTTCTCTTTTTTGTTCTCTGGTAGAATTCTTGTAATACCAACTGAATCATCTGGACTTGGGGTTCTTTTTTGGTGGGAAAACATTTAAAATACTGTTTCAATTTCTTTATTAGTTGTACGACTACTCAAGATTTCTTGGTTTGTTGGGTTTTTTTGGAGCCAATTTTAGTTATGTTTTAGAGTTAATGTTTTTGTTAATTAAAGTTTTCAGATTTATTAAATGATGTTGATAATAACAATTTTATTCTGTTTCAAATCTTTGTCATAACTGTTATTATATCCCCATTAAAACCCATAAAAAGCTTATTATGGCTTCTCTTTTTCTTGATAATTTTTTCTACAGGATTTTCTATTTGTGAATCTTTAAAAAAACAAGTATTTGGATTTGTGGCAATCTTCTAGCTTTTTTCTGGTTGCTTTTAACATGTTCTTTTCTCTTTATTGATCTCCAGTTTTACCACAGTGTAATTAGTTCTGGATTCATTTCTAAATTTAGAACTCATATTTAAAGATTTGTGACTTTTTTCAGTTTTGGAAAACTATCAGTTCAATCTCTTTGAATATACCTTCCTCATCATTCCCTGAATTATCTTCTATTAGACATATTTTAGAGTTTCCTTTTTTTTGAGACAGAATCTCACTCTGTTGCCCAGGCTAGGGTGCTGTGGAGTCAGGCTAGCTCTCAGCAAACTCAAACTCCTGGGCTCAAGCAATCCTTCTGCCTCAGCCTCCCAGAGTGGTAGGATTACAGGCGTGAGCTGCTACGCCCGGTCTAGAGTGTCTTGATTTATTTTCTGTGCTTCTTAACCACTCTTTCATATTTTATACCCCTTTATTTTTGTGTTATATACTCTTTGAATTATTTAATAATATCTTCACTAATGTCCATGTTATCTGTGTTCTATACAGAATGTGTTCTTTTTACTGAATTTTTAAAATTAGCTTTTTTTATTGTCTAATAGTTTCTTTCATGTCTATTCATTCTTGTTTTATTTCTTTGTTTCCAACTTCTTGTTCTTACAAATATTGATCTCATATATCTCTGAAAGACTATAAACATTCTTATTTAAAGTCTTCTTTGGAAACTTTTATATTTTCATTTTGTTTGGACAGAATCCAAGTACCAATAATCAATTTTATTGTCTTTCTTATCATTAAACATCTATGAGTATTTTTGAGTTTAGTTTGCCTACTCCCCTGGAGTGACACACTAGCCTCTCCCTTCAATTCACCGTGATAATTAGACAATTGCCTCCACTCAGCACTTCAAGGATCCCAATTTGATCTTAGATGCCTTTCCTGAAGAGTCAGTGTGCTGCTTGGCTCGGGTTGTGAGTCTGTGCTCAGGTACTCCTGCCTGTCCAGGTACAAGCTCCACCTGAGCTGTAGCCAGCAGCCGTAGCAGCTTCTCTCAGCCTCCTTTGTCCAGTGGTGGAGCTTCATCCAAGGTTCTTTTCTCAAGCAGAAACCTTGGTTCAGTCCCTTGCTTCAGATAGGTGCATTTAAACTACGTACTGCCATAGGATCCAAATTCTTACCTTATCTTCTTTCATTTCTGAACCACTTCTAATCTCAGAATCATGAGATTTCCAGTTTATCTCTTGACTCAGAAAAGTCTGGATCTGACCCATAGCCAAGGTCAAGCAGGCTTGCCCTCCACACAGTGACATTTAGTTTGTGAGTGAGCACTCTGTCCCTCAAAGACTTCATGGGGCCGAAAGCTTTTCTCAAACCAGTGGTCCTTTTTGAGCCACTTCCCTTTCTCTTGACCTATGATTCAAATGTTTAACATAAAAACAGCACATCCAATGGGCTGGCTGGGAGAGCTAGTTTTCAATCTAGTTCTGCTATTTACTGGATTTGTAGCCCTTGGGAAACATTTTGCCACATTGAATGTTTATTTTCTAATCTGTAACTTTTTAGAGAAGTTAGGAAAATTAAATAGTATATTATCTGTGAAAGCACAATGAAAGTAATAAAGTGCCATGGAAATGTTTAACTGTATGTCTCATGTCAATTGAAAGCACTGGAAATGTATGTGGAACCGGTTAGCCATTCTTTCATGTATTCATTCAACCACTATTTACTGAGCAGCTGCTATGCACCAGACACAGAGCTAGGCACAGTGAGGTGATGCAGCCCAGGATGGTTACATGTCACATATGCTTTCATTCTCATCTAGTGGTAAGAGTTTAGATTTGTCCAAATATACACTTGGGACGTCAGTAACAGAGGCAGAAACAGATGCTAAAGAAAATAGGGAAGTTTAGTTGCAGACTAAAAACTCCTAGTCATTTTGATACATCTGCTCTTTACACTGGTGTTTTCTTGGTTTAAGTGACGACATACTTAAATCACTGGGCCAAATCAACAAATAAGATATTTTAAAACCTTTATTTTTATAAAAATTAACTACTTGGCAAGCTGTGACTTTGTATTTTTGGATATAAGTGCAGAAATATAACTTCCTGTTCTTTCTATATTTAGTTTTGACTGTCAACCTAGCCTTATGCTCTTCCACAGGACTCTATTCTCTTGTAGGAGATAAATGTCTGTAAAAAAGATGAAGGGGGTTGGTATATATGCCAGATTCTTGCTAGTCTATAATCCCTGGGTCCCTATTTTTGACCTTCACATAGCCACAGGTTTATACAGATAACAAGAACTATGAATAAGGGAGCAATGCAGTCTTACAGCTATTCCAGACTGTATTATTGTCTAGAAAGAACAAGAAATTGACTGAGCCACACATTGCTTTGATTTATCACAACCATAAGGATTGCTGTTAAATGTTACTATTATCAAGGCTTGGAAAATGCTTCCCAGTTGTTGTTCAGTCTTTGAAGACTGAGGAATGAGCCACATTTCCCTTAAGCATTTAATGATGTTCTTGTAATTTTATTATTTTCTTTCCCATAGGCTTTCCCCTCCCAAACATACATTTTTCCTCTTCCTTCTTAGCCTTCATCTCGTCCTTCCAGATTGCTTTGTACAAAGGACTGCTTGTTTCCAACTAGGCTGTCTTCCCTTTAGGATAAACGTCCACAGGCAAACCTGAGCTGTGCCCACTTGCTGGGCTTGTTGTAGGGACCTAGAATGGCAAAGGAAGAGGTGGAGTAGAGGACAAGGAATAGGAGGGAGAGTGAGCCAGTGACTGTGTCTTGCCACAGATGTCTTCTGTCTGGTTTGCTTTCGATTTCCATTGCCTCAGCCTGCCCTGAGGGCTAGGCCAGGCTTTGTGTGCTGTCTTGACCAATACAGCACCATACACTTCATTCCCACCACTGGCCGCTGCTCTCATGTCCTGTTAAGAAGCACTTGCAAAGTCAGAGTGCTTAACACGGTTCTAAGTTCAGCCCTCCAAGGAAGCATTTCAGAGCAGGTCTGTTCTGCTCTTTGGTGTGGAACATAAATAGATGTCCAGCAGCAGAAAAGGCCATGTTAGTGCCCCGGGCTTATAGGTTGACGATGATATTCACAGAGCATTTACTAAGTTCTAGTCACATTAACATTTAAAATATCAACTGAAATACATAAAAAAGGCAAGAAACTTGTATACAAGTTTCAAACGCTTCTGTTTAGAGGTACCTTCGCCTCCACTCTGGCGCATCCCAAATGGCTCACTGAATGTAGCAAGTCCCGGGTTCTGAACAATTTACATCTATTAACTCATTTAACCCTCATAACATTTCTAGGGTTTAGGCTCTATTATTGTCTTCATCCTGCAGATGGGGGAATCTTAGAGTGTAAATCCTTGCCTAAACAGCAAGTAAGTTTTTACAAACAAACAATCTGGTTCTAAACTATTTTTTAAAATTAAAAAAATATCTATTTCACTGTTTCTCTTTATTTTTAAAAGAAAACTTGTTGGTGCTACTGGATTATTTCTTCAGAAAGTAGTATTCCCAATATCTTCCTTTTATACAGTAAAAATCTTTCAAATGAATGGGAGGGATTGATTGGTAGTGCTAGAAAGAAAGGAAAATACATTAATGATAAATCTCAACACACAGAATTAAATTGCTAGCTTTACTGAGGTTTCCTAATAATTAGCACTTTTCTTCTTCTATCTCACAGCAAACCTTGAAGAAAAAATGGGTGGAGTTCAGATCTCTGCAGTTACAGGAACAGCGCCTGCTTCACGGTAAATGCAGTTTCCTGTTCAGAAACCACACTAACATTTCAGCCTTTCAGTATTTCTGCCCCTAAATTGCTTAAGATTATCATTGTTACAAGAAAGATTTGTCTATCACCAATCAAGGATACTAGCCTGTGTTTCTTTGGTGTGCACTTTGGAGTGACTGTGTATTTGGAGGAGGGGTACATAAAGTCAGACCTCCTTCTCCATACACGCATGGCACATACGCACGTGAAAACACGCACACGCTTGCAAGAGGCACCTGGAGATTTTAGAAGAGCAGCAGGAAAGACTGCCTGACTTTCCTACTACTTCAGCAAATGAATTAAATTCCTGAAAATCAGCACAGCTCAGGGGCTCATTCCTAGAAGTTCCTAGAAGCTATTGAGGTTGGAATGGTTGCACATTTCTTGAGTAGAGCTCCTGTCATTTGTTCAAATTGTGTAGGTCATGTTTAAGCAGAGAAATCCTTTTTCATGGCGCCCCAAACAAAGACAGAGATGTGTACGATTGTTATAACAATGAATGAATAGCTTTTGCCATTTTGGGCATTTTGAAGGGAAGGTATGAGTTTAAAATTTGTTGATTTGCCATTTGCTGTGTGACTGGTGTAACCTGAAGAATGAACTTTTATGTACAAGTAATTCACTGAAACCACTAATATGTGGGTTGAAATATAGGTATATCTTCTTTAGATAACACCAAGCTTAAGTCTCTTTTTATAACCTAGAATATCTGTTAAAGGTGATACTCCATTTTTTTACAGAAAAAGATGCATTAATTAAGATGCAAAAATTAAGATTAATTTTTAATTAGGCATTAATTTATGGCCTGGAGATTTGAGTTGCAATTTAGTTTTTTTTTTTAAATGGAAGTGTTTGAAACTTATGGACAAGTTTCTTGTCTTTGTCATGTTTTTCAGTTAATATTTTTAAAAATTCATAATAGATTTTTTTGAGGTCTCAAGTTTGTTAGAGAGATGGAGATACACAAACTCTGTGGCTTTTTTAATTCAGCACCCTCCTCGTTTTCTGCAGATGTGAGGGTTTTTGAGAAACCTTCGCCTCCACTTCTGGAGCATCTGGAATAGCTCCGTGAACTCTGTAAGTCCGGAGGTTCTATAGGAATGGCCTTGTATAGACAAGATCCTTAGGTCAGGATCTTCATAAGGTCATTGTTCTGCACATTTTTTGAGAGATTGTGGGAATTCTTTCATCACTTTTTCCAGATTTAGAGTAAACATTCAGTGCCTGAGATTCTACAAGGCAATTGCTCTCCAATCAAAAGAAATTCATCAGCTCTTTGCAAGATGAAATAAAGTAGGCTGTATTAGCAAAAAGGGAAGCATTGTGACTAGTCATTGCAGGGCTGGCCACACTCAGCCTTGCAAATCAAATGGGAAAACAGTCTCTTTTTATATTATCAAACAAAGACAAAGGAGAGCAGCAGTAAAGATAATCACCATAAAATAAAACCATTTCCGAGCATGTAGTATTCTTCTACTTTTTCTGAAGCAGAGTCACCTTCTATTTATGTTTTTCTCATGCCAATATCTTTATTTTATTTAGCAACATACTAACCAACTCAAGAAGTGAGGAAGCAGGTGGAGTACGGACAGGATGTTGATGCGGTATTAATATTTGAGTTTGGAGAGCCAGGTGGAGGTTATTAAGGGTTGATGGAAAAAATCCAACCAAGCAGATAAAACTCAATTTCTTCAAATAAATTATTTCTTATCTGAGAGGATAGAAATGCTTTCTGGGTACAATATCCTTCTAGAGCATTTAAGTATCCCAAATTGAAACTTGGACTATTGAGGCTGGAAGTTATGGTTGCTTTAATAAACACCTGTCATAAACACCTTTAAATTTTCTGTTTTATAAATGTGTTTCCCGTATACTTCAAATAATTGTATAATAATTTTACAATTATTTTAAAAAGACAGTAACCAAGAATCAGAGGGACTAAATGGAGACAATTCGTCAGACAGCATTTCCCCAAGTGTATTCCTTGGAACCCGATATGTCTGAGAATTTTAATAAAAAGGTTTCAGAGTCATTTAAGTTTCAGAAACAATTATTTTATCGATTCTGAAGTCATATTGGCATACTGGAGTTGGGTTTGAATGTTCTCCTATGAAGTATCTTGTTTAAATTTAGTCTAACATTATAATTTTTGTGACCATGGAATCTTTTTCTTGGAACTTAGTCCATGAACAAAAGTTTGGGAAACCCTACCATGAGGTTTATCAGATGGCCTCGTAAATGGTCACTAATTCACGCAAGTAAAAGGTTGGTGAAAAATATTTTCCACCCTCATTCTTTCCTGTGTTCTTGAAAGAGAAATTCTGGTGTACTGTATTTATTTTTTGAGAGTGATGCTCAGATCCATTCCACAGTAGACTTTGTTCTCTGTACTCCAGGTGATGCAGCTAACTGCCTGAGTTTGGAAAGCATGGACATGGAGGAATTGTCTTTGTTTGGAACCCTACCTGGTCCAGGCCCAGTACTTGTGGACCGGAATCGATTATCCAGTGAGAGCAGTTGTAAGAGCTGGCTCAGCTCCGTGACGATGGACAGCGAAGATGGCTACCAGACCTGTATGTCTGAGGACTCCAGCAGGGGAGCCTTCAGCCGGCAGACGAGCACAGATGATGAGTGTTTCGTCCCCAAGGATGGGGATGATTTTCTGAGAAGGTCTTCGTTAAGGAGAGACCGGAGCATCAGCACCACCAGCAGTGGATCTCTGTCTCCCTTGTGGGAAGGCAACTTCTCAAGCATGTTTGGGACCCTGCCTCGGAAGAGCAGAAAAGGAAGTGTCCGGAAGCAACTCTTGAAATTCATCCCTGGCCTTCACCGTGCTGTGGAAGAGGAAGAGAGTCGCTTTTAAGGGGTTGTGGTGCCCTTTCAAATTAGCTCGTTTCACAAATATCTCTGGACTCATCTAGATCTACTCCACCCAGCTTAGTGGGAAAGTACAGATGGATTGCTTAACTGACATCCCATTTCACAGCAATAATGACCTTTATTTAAATTTTTGCATCATTGTTTTTGCTTCTTAAGTCATTTTTCAACCAGAACAGCTGTTCTAAGCAAACGTTAGGGAAATCGAGTAATGAGTTAGATAATATAACAAATTAATGCAATTGCCTGCTCACTCTAATGCTGCCTGTGAAAGCAAGAGTAATATTTATTTTCTAGATTATTCATGTGAAAAATGGAGGACTTTTTGGAGTCATATGTAAATAAAGGAGTTACAAAATATAATAATCTGGGTTACCTTCCATAGGATAATTGGTGGGTTACAAAATCTTATGTTTGCTTAAGCTTAGTAGCTCCTGGGAAAGCTTAATAATAGGTAATTTTGAATGTTTCTGTTAAAATCTATGAGTGGGTTATAAACAAAGATGACCATCAGCTTTTTCTCACGTCCATAGTGATGATAAAGCAGGAAGTAGAAGATTTATTAACATGAGGGGTTAAGCTTCATGAGAACCATGGAAAGATGTGGTCTGAGATGGGTGCTGATGAAGATTATAATAAGGTCTCTTTAATAAGCAATCTAAACAAAATTGGTGGAAATCTCATTCGTCTTCCTAATTTGACATTTGTTTTGCCTGAATATTGATGACAAGTCTAGAACTCTCAGGATCCTATAGTGTTGTGATGATGATGAAGATGATGACTATTGTTATTATTATCTTGCTACAAATGTCTAAAAAGCAAAAAGAGAGTTGGGAAAGGATTTTCCTCCTGTAGATTTTTTCACATTACTTCCTACTTTATATTATATATTCCAAACAGTTACCGCCTCAGCAGTATTTTGTCTTGTCTGTTGGTTGTGTTAGTATCACATTACTTCTAGCCTTTAAATCACTCTATATTTTATTCAATATCTATTAAAGTCCATGATTTTTCTATTATGGTGACAGAGACGTTTATTAACTATATTCTAGAGTAGACGATTTGGACTACGTAATAAACAGTCCTTACTGATTTTAAGCTGTGTGTGTGTGTGTTTGTGTGTGTGTGTGTGTGTGTGTTTGTGTTTGTGTATATGTGTGAGTGTTTGGGAGAAATAGTTGACTTTGAGTAGAACTGCTACATTTAAGTAAATTTCTGATTAATCTAAAGAATGAGTTATTTTGAGGAAAAAAGAGGACAGGATAAGGAAGGTTATAGGATAAGAAATAAATAATAAAAATAAAATATGAAAAGATTTCTAGTTGGGACCTGCTTTCTGTCAATTCTTTGAACTCAGAAACATCCAGTGGAATTTATATGAGGGTTGTTCAGATGAAAGGTAGTGCGTAGTACCTTTCAGAGAAATGACAGCAATCCTGTCTACCATTTCTGAATGCCTAACAGGCTAAAGGCACTTTACATGTGATCCCCACGGTAACCCTATAGTACATGTTAGGCATACAGATAAGAAGGCAGGAATTTGGAGGCATTCCCATGGTCACATGGCTAGTCAGTGGCAGGGCTGAAATTGGAAGCCAGTTCTTCCTGGCTCTAGCCTATTATCATCTCTCTAGATATCATTTACTCTTTTGTGATCACCACGGTACTTTTTATTCCACCCAGCAGGAATACTTAAAATTTATAATTGTAGATACTGCATTGTCTTTGGTAAATAGGAAAACAAACATTTAGGGTGACTCTCTTGGCCTCCACAAGCAAGTTTTCAGATATAGGCACATTAATACCTGCATGGTTAGCAACACATTTATTTTCAAAAAGAGCTTGCAAACCAGTTATGATTCAACTGGTATTGCTTATTTCTCATCATAGTCTAGAATTGTCATGTTAAAGATCTACTTGTGTGAATGCAGCATTTCCTGTTAATTCTATTGCACAAAGCGCAGGGGAAAGAAATACTATATTTGAAAAAAGATGACTTTAAGTCTTTTACAATGTGAAAAAATGCTTTGAGAACGACCACAGGTCCTGTGGGAAAGCAGCCCATATATAGATCATTTGCTTTTCTTGTGGCTTTAGTACAGAAGTGCGATACTTACTCTATGTTAGTAGACATCAAATGCAAAAAAGAGGCAGGGGAGGGACAGAGTATTACTTTAGTTTGCGATGAGAATTAGAGTCAAGATTTAAATATATTCTGGGAAAAAAGAAAAGCACTGGTTAACCAAGGTGCAGGAAAGAAGGTCATGTTGAGGTGTTCACAAGCTGTGAGAAAACTAGCATTTGTTTAGTGGAAATGTGGGTAAATTTCTGACAGCATAGCTTTTCAGACTAAGTCTGACCTCAGTGGGGCTTTAGAAGAACCTTATGGTGCATAGTGACTCATTTTGATATAATTTACTGGGAAAAAATTGAAAAGTATTTTTTTTTACCTGAAGTTGCCAAGTATGTAATATTGGTGAATTACATTAATTGATAATTTGTTATGAACATGCATTTTTCTAAAATGGCATTTGATAAATCAAATTTGAATCAAACATATTGGGAATTAGTTTATTATGTGGCTGAAGGAATGACACCATGTCAAACTTACTGGTAATATATTTTTTAAGATGATCTTTTATTCATTATTTTATACTTTACAATTCTTTTATATCTTAGGTGCATGATACAAACAGTACTTAAAATCCCAGTTTGAAATGAAGAAATCAAACTTGGACGCAGTTTGTATATATCGATGTCAAAGTATAAGTATTTATGAATGTATAGAGACTAAATATATTAAATAATACATAACTACATTGAGCCCTTCAGCTTATAAAACTATTGTTACTTTTTATCTGTCCCCTTACAGAACTATGGGTTATAAAATCAAAATCCGATATCTTTCTGAAATAAAGAATGCTATTCTTTAGTGTCCAAACTTTCTCTCTCTCTCTTCTTTCCTTCCTACCTCTCTACCTTAAAAGAAATGATAGTTTTACAAGCCGATTTTTTCTTAATCCTGAGTGACCTCTTGTCACTTACTTCTTTGAGGCCCTTAAAAGTCACTACCTACTTAATCGAGGCTTTGCACTAGTATTAGTTTTCTATTGCTGTTTAACAAATTACTACAAACGTAGAAGCTTAAAACATATTTATTATCTCAAAGTTTCTGTGGGCCAGGAGTCTGGGCACAGGTTAGCTGGGTCTCTTCAGAGTCTCAGAAAGCTGCAGTCAGGTGTTGCCCAGGGTTGCATTTTTACCTGGAGGCTTAATTGGAAAAGGATCCACTTTTAAGCTCCCTTAGGTTGTTGTCATTTCCTTGTGGCCATACAATTCATGGCAGCTTGCTTCTTCATAGCCAGCAATGGAGAGAAAAAGGGAGTGAAGCCATAAGCAAGAGTCTTAAATAATGCAATGTAATCAGCGAGTGACTTCCCATCACCTTTGCCATATTCTGTTTGCTAGAAACAAGTCACAGGTCCCACCCACCTAAAGATGCAGGAATTACATGAAGGCATGGTTGTAAGGAGGTGAGGGTCAGGGCATCATCTTAGAGTCTGTTTGTAACACCATTCAAGGGTTTTGCAAACTGGATAAAAAAGATGTTGAGTTGTTTCTAAACCCCTTTGAGTAAAAATAAATGGTGAATGTTACCACCTTAATTTTTGTATAAAGAAATGGTAGCATTAAAGAATTTTGGAATTAGAGAACCTGGCCAAGATTGTATATCTAGCCCAAAAGCTGAGTGAGAAACTGAATCCAAGTCTATTATTGACCTCCCAACTTTGTCTCCAAGGTACATGGAATGCTAAAAGGAGATTTGAAAAGAGTGTTAGAGAATGAACTAGTTACCTGCTTTTAAATTCTACTCAGGGAATCTGAATGTGCTTAAGTGAATTTGGTGACTTTGCCATTTCTAGGCAGCTGCATCTTTATGAGAAGAGAACAGAAAGAATTCCACAGAAAAATGAACAAAACACTGATTATCAAAACTACAAAGCACAAAAGTCAGGAGATATCACACAAAAAATATATCAGAACTTCAGGAAAATAAGCAGTTTGAAAGACTATAAAACATATGTCTTAGGAATAGAGGACAACTCCCCCAACTTGATAAAGGTCGTCTACAAAAAACCTACAGCTGGCCGGACGCAGTGGCTCACGCCTGTAATCCTAGCACTCTGGGAGGATTGCTTGAGCTCAGGAGTTTGAGACCAACCTGAGCAAGAGTGAGACCCTGTCTTTACTATAAATAGAAAGAAATTAGCCAAAAAACTAAAAATAGAAAAAATAGCCAGGCATGGTGGCGCATACCTGTAGTGCCAGCTATCTGGGAGGCTGAGGCAGGAGGATTTCTTGAGCCCAGGAGTTTTGAGGTTGCTGTGAGCTAGGCTGACGCCATGGCACTCTAGCCCAGGCAAGAGAGTGAGACTCTGTCTCAAAAAAAAAACAAACTTACAGCTATTGTCATAATGGTGGGAAACTGGATGATTTCCCCCTAATAGCAGTCACAAAGCAAAGATGTCTTCCCTCACTACTCCTGTTCAACATTGTACTGAAAATCTTAGCTAGTGTAATAAGACAAGGAAAAAAAAAGTATACAAATTGGTAAGGAAGAAAAGAAACTGTGGATGATATATTTTCTTTGTGGAAAATCTCTAAGAATCAACAACACAACAAAAAATCCTGAAACTAATAAGTGACTATAGCAAGGCCACAGGACGCAAAGTAAATATACAAAAGTCAATTGCTTTCCTATAAAGCAGCAATGGACGATTGTAATTTGAAATTTAGAAAATATGATAGCACAAAGAAATGAAATACTTAGGTATAAATCTAACATATTGTGGGACCTCTATGTGGGAAACAACAAAACTCCAGTGAAGAAAATCAAGCAATATCCAAATAAATAGATAGATAGTCTGTGTTCATGGATTGGAAGATTCAATAGTTTTATGATGTCAGTTCTTATCAGCTTAATCTATAGATTCAGTGCAATCCCAATTAAAATGCCAGCAAGCTATTTTATAGACATTAACAAGTTGATTTTAAAGTTTATATGGAAAGGCACAAGACTTGACATAGCCGACATAATACTGAAGAAGAAAGAACAAAGTTGGAGGAATTGCAATACCCTATTTCCAGACTTACTATAAATCTACAGTAATCAATACAGCATGGTATTGGCAAAAGAATAGACACATAAAATCAGTGGAACAGAATAAAATACTTAGACATACACACATACAAATACGGTCAATCTATTTTCAGCAAAGGAATAAAGTCAATTAAATGGAAAAAGGATAATCTTTTCAACAAATATTAATAGTTCTGGAACTTATACAAGATCTTATATGTTTCAG